CCAATCATTTTTAGGCTGAAGATGGGCTTGCCATATATATTTCTATAGTTCATAAAAAGGAAAGAAAATGGGGTAATCTGAAGATATCAATGATATTGAAGACTTAAGGAACACAGGATGAACTGCTCACATGCAAATTCAAGTTGAAGACGAAGAAAATTAAAACAAGTTCATGAGAGCCAAAGTATGGCCTTGAGATGTTCTATCTGAATTTAGAGACCATCTCAAAAATAGATTTGATGCATTGAACACTAATGACTGAAGATTAGATGAGTTGTGGGATGGCATTAAAGACATCATAAGTGAAAAAAGCAAGCAGCCAAGATATCAATCAACATTAAAAGCAAGCAAGAAAAGATCAAAATGGGTATCAAAAGAGACTCTGAAACTTGCAGTTGAATGTAAAGTAGCTAAAGCAAAAGGGAGAATTGATGAACTAAAAGACCTGAACAGAAGATTTTAAAGACCAGGTAGAGAAGACAAAGTATTTTCATGAAATGTGCAAAGATACACAATTAGAAAACCAAAAGGGAAAAACATGCTCATCATTTCTCAAGCTGAAAGAATCTGAAGAAAAATAAATTAGGCTCTGTGTTGTAATATTGAAGGATATGAGTTGGGCTGATAACCTAAAGGTCAGCAGTTCGCAGCAGGAGAAAGATGAGGCTTTCTGCTCCCATGAAGATTTATAGCATCAGAAACCCTACACAGGGTCGCTATAAGTCGGAACTGACTCCACAGCACACCATCACCACCACCATGAGCAAAATGGAGTCCTATTGTGGCAATGTAGGATAAGCACTGGACTTCTAGCCACTAGACTGCTAGTTCAAACCCACCAGCAGCTCCTTGGAAACCCTATATAGTGTAGCTATGAGTCAGAACTGACTGGATTGTACTTGACATTAGCAAAATATTGAACCACACAAAACCCCAAAATCTACCCCATCAAGTCCATTCTGACTCATAGCACCCTGGATAGGGTTTCCTAGGCTGTCCATGTGTATGGGAGCAGACAGCCTCATCTTTCTCATGTGGAGTGGCTGGTGAATTTGAACTGCTAACCATGTGGTTTGCAGTCAGTGCTATCCTCCAGTGTCACCAGAGCTACAATGAGCTACATGGGAAGCATCAAAAGATGGAATACACAAAATTACTGTACCAAAATTGGTGTTTCAGGAGGCAGCATATGATTAAGACCTGATGGTATTGAAGGAAGAAGTCCAAATTGCATTGAAGCCATTGGTGAAAAACAAGGTTCCAGGAAGTGGTGGGATGCCAATTGAGATGCATCAACAACTGACTGGGGGACATCCATATTTGTGTCTATTCCAGAGGTGATTCAACAGAATGTGAAAATTATTGAATAATATCATATGCCAGTATAATTTTGCTGAAGATAATCAGAAAACAGTTACAATGCTAGATGGACAGGGAACTGCCAGAAATTCATGCTGCGTTCAGAAGGATATGGAACACGGGATATAGCTGCTAATGTCAGATGGGTCTTGGCTGAAAGCAGAGAATACCAGAAAGGTGTTTACCTGTGTTTTATGACTAGGCATTTGATTGAGTGGAGTGTAACAGATTACGAATAATACTGTAACAAATGGGAATTCTAGAACATATAACTGTGCTCATACAGAAGTTGTACATGCAGCTCCAGAGACAACCATTCAAACAGAGCAATGGGATACTGAATGATTTTAAAATCAGGATAGGTGTGTGTCAAAGTTGTATCCTTTCACCATACTTATTCAATCTGCATGCTGAGCAAATAATCTGAGTAGTTGGACTGCAATAAGAAGCATGCAGCATCAGGATTGGAGGAAGATCCATTAACAATTTGTAATATGCTGGTGATACAACTTGCTTACTGAAAGCAAAGAGGACTTGACACAGTTATTGAAGGATATCAAGGATTACAGCCTTCATTATGGATTATACTTTAAAATGAAGAAAACAAACCCCCTCACATTTGGACCAATAAGCAACACTATGGAGAAACGGACAAAAGATTAAAGCTGTCAAGGATTTTATTTTACTGGATCTACAATCAACGTCAATGGAGGGAGCAGCCAAGATATCAATCAACATATTGCATTGGACAAATCTGCTACAAAGATGTCACTTGAGGACTAAGTTGTACCTTTCCTAAGCCATGATATTTTCAGTCTCTGGAGAAGAACGCCATGTGTGATATAGTAGAGGGTCAGAGAAAAAGAGCAAGACCCTCAATGAGATGGGCTGACACAGTGACTACAATAATCCGGTGAAAGGTAAAATAGATTGTGAGGATGGCAGAGAACCAGAGGCTATGTTTCATTTTCTCATACATAGGGCTGCTGAGTCTGATTGAACCTTAACAACAACAATCTTGATGTATTTCTTTGGAGGCACAGGATGATCACAGTGGCTTAGTATGAAGTTAAAAATGTTTTTAATTACTTTTTTAATTGACACTACATTATGAGAAAAAGGCCCTGAATGTTGTATCAAGGAATTTTTTTTCCCATTGACACTAAGTTCATTCTTTGAGGGTAGTAAGGGGGTACCCTAGGAGAATTTTGTTGGGAAACCTTATACCATCCACCCTACAGCCCTGATCTTAACTTTTCAGACTTTTTAGTCCACAAACCCAATTTCAAGGAACACAATTTGATTCCCTGGAAGATGTTTTTATGTTGTACAATTAAAAGAATGCAGAATTCTATGGGGCAGGTTTAGGACAACGGAAACACCACTTTCAGAAGTACACAGATCTAGATGTAAGAAAGCTTCACATTTTGATATTTTTGTTTAATAAAGATTTATTTGATTTTGTAGCAATACCTTTTTGGCTTACCCTCGTACATACACATACATTGTTTTTCTTCCTTCAACTAGTGAAACCACAGGACAAAAGGACAGGAAAGCTTCAGCTCACAATGGTATACAGTTTAAAAGATCAGGAAGGAATAACAAATTCCGTAACCAAGTACGCAGAAAAGGCATCCAGGTGCTGACATCCCACGCGGCCTGATCTACCTCTGGGTAGCGTGTAGATCACAGCTCCTCAGAGCTGGGGCAGCACTGTTACCAAAGCTGGCAGTTAACTGAAGAGCGAAGTTCGGGATCGTGTTACAGCCTGAGAAACAACAGAGCTCTGCCAGTCCCACTGACACTTGTCACGATCCTGCTTTTAACCAGCAACCTCCGGGCCTCTGGGAGAGGGGAGGATTCCTAACGCAGGTCGTTTCCAAGGGTAACAACGCAGCGGCACTTCCTTCAACGTGTGGACGCAACGGACGCTGCACGTCACTTCCGCTGCCTGTCCGTTGGATAGTTGACTTCACTGTCGTAAACTAGTGAAGTTTAACTACTTTTCGGTAATGAAGGCTGTTTTAGAAAAGTGATATCGTTGTAGGTCTCGCTGGCGACTGGCTCCTTTTTAGCTAATTAGTTAATCCTAGGTGCCGGTCATTGTATTTACTGCTCCTTACCGTTGTGCGTGGGGTACGGTGGCCGAGGAGGCTCGTGAACGGAGGAAGTAGCCGGAGAGTGGGTGTGCGCGCACGGTCCGGGCCAGAGGTGCACGTGGCGCCGGTGAGTTGCCCCAGGAAGCCCCAAGATCTGAGTGTTCTGGATGCAGAACGCAGCTGCGGGAGGGATGAGGGAAGGAGGGGATGAGGCGTGAAGAACTTGCTGCTTGCCAGCGGAGGAGGTTACCCTTTGGAACGAGGCTGGTGAGTGGCCGGCGCCCAAATGTCCATGGAGAGGTGCCACTCCTTACCCCTCGGGTCCATCACTGGTGCCTGGTCCGTGACTGGGCTGGCTGGGGTGCTATCGTCATTGGCCCCTTTATGGGGCTACGTTCAGCGGAGTTATGTGGTGTAACCCGATGCCACAGTGACCCAAAGGTACATACCGTTTTCTCACTTGGTAGGAGCGAGCATGTCTTTTCGAGGCGGAGGCCGTGGAGGCTTTAATCGAGGTGGTGGAGGTGGCGGCTTCAATCGTGGCGGCGGCGGCAGCAACAACCATTTCCGAGGTGGAGGCGGCGGCAATTTCCGAGGCGGCGGCGGCGGTAGAGGCGGATTTGGACGAGGGGGTGGCCGTGGAGGTTTTAACAAATTCCAAGACCAAGGACCTCCAGAACGTGTGGTTTGTATGTCAGCCGCAAAGCGTGGTGGTGGTGGGATCCGCCCGCAAATGTGACTTGGGGTCAGGCAGGTGCTGAAGGCTAGGTCCACCAGCTATCATCGGAAGGGTGGCAGGCCAGTCAGTCAGGCTCTTAGTAGACAGGGCTGTACGGAGACTTCAGTCCTGCTGTAGCAGGAAAGGGGGAGAGCTCGAAAGTGAAGTGCCCGAGTAACAGGTGTGAATAAGTGATGTTGTTAAGTACCGTGGAATGGGTTCCGACTCATAGCGACCCTGTAAATCTTTATGGGAGCAGAAAGCCTCATCTTTCTCCCGCGAAACAGCTGGTAGTTTCGAACTGCTGATCCTGAGGTTAGCAGCCCGATTCGTAACTACTACGCTTACCAGAGCTCCTTAAATAAGCAATTGTTGTTGTTAAGTGCTATCAAGTTGGTACTGATCCTTAGCGACCTTATGCACAGCACAACGAAACACTGCCTGATCCTGGGCCAACCTCACTACTGTTGCCACGCTTGAGTCCATCGATGCTGCCACTTGGCCAATCCATCTCGTTGGGGGGCTTACTCTTTTTCTCTGACCCTCCACCTTCCCAAACATGATATCCTTCTCCAGCGACTGCTCCCTGCTGACAATACCCCGGCAGTTTCCGCCGCCTCCAGTGTTTATAAACACCGCAGTCCAGTGTTTATCCTACACTAGGACTCCATGATACAAGGACTCCATGCCGACCTTGTGTTCAGCAGTCCAGTACTTATTAAATAAGTAATATTGGGTGCTTATTTTCCCATCTTAAAGGAGCTCTGGTAGCGTGGTGGTTGTGAATCAGGCTGTGAACCGCAAACTCAGCAGTTCGAAACTACCGCTGTTCCACGGGAGAAAGATGAGGCTTTCTGCTCCCATAAAGATTTCCAGCCTCAGAAACTCTGTACAGGGTCGCTATGAGTCAGAACCGACTCCATGGCACACAACCACCACCACCACCATTTTCCCATCTTACAGCTAAGAAAACTGATTTGGTGAAATTTGTTAGCAAAGGTCATAAGATGAGTGGTAAATGAACAGTAAATGATGTGTTTGAGATAAAAAGCCCAGTTTCTGACTCGAAAAGACCATCCTTTCAATTAGTACTTGTAAGTTAAAAGAGAATTTTTTTTTGAAGGTTAGAAGAATGACTTATTCAGAGCAGTTTGGGAATTATTTCCGCTGAGATGCAATGGAAGACAGGGCAAATGACACAGAGAGGTTTGAACCTGATGTAATAAAAACTCTTAATCTCATAATGCCACCATGGAGACGGAATGAACAGCATTTAATAGGGAATATATATGGGTTGAATCAGTATGCTGGATGGGGTGAAAAAGAGAGGAATGGCTAGAATCAAAGCCCATCCACGAGACATCCTGAGCCTAATTTAGTATAGTGGAAGTGAGGGAGGAAAGGATTAGATTGGAGTGAGATTTCAGAGGAAATAAAATCTGTAGAATGGCTAATGTACACAGGAGTGAAAGGTTCAGCTGCAGCCTTAAGAAGATAGAGCTGGGTTTTCAGCAATGTGATAGGTATTTCAGTTTGAGGTGACAGTTACAAATAAAGCTTGTTGCTAAGTGCTGTGGAGTTGGTTCCAACCACAGTGACCTCGTATAAGGTTTCCTTAGAAGAGCTGGTGGGTTTGAACTGCTGACCTTGTGTTGAGCAGTCCAGTACTTAACCTACTGCACCATACCAGGAGTCTAGAAATAGTTTGTTATTTGAAATTCTAGACATTCTTGAAAAGTTGTAGTCATTAGACAAGAAGTAGTAGTGAGAGGAGAATAAAAGGGACAAGAGCAACAAAGACTGATTCATAGTGGGAGATTCGAGAAGCAAGAGAAGCCAGGAGACTGAAGCAATGTTTAATCAAATAATAATAATTGTCATTATAGCAAAGCAAGGAGTCCTGGTAGGACTGTAGGATAAGCACAGGACTGCTAATTGCAAGTTTGACAGTTCCAACCCAACAGCCACTCCTTGGAAATCCTACATAGGGTCTTTGTGAGTCGGAACCGACTCTATGGCACTCAGCATAGTAAAGCAATGAAATCACTTTCATAATCTCACTTAATCTTCACATTACTTCACCCATTGTATGGTGGTACTGCTATTGTTATGTGCTGTGGAGTCAGTTCTGACTCATTGTGACCCTGTGCAGGGTTTCCGAGGCTGTAAATCTTTACAGGAGCAGAAAGCCTCATCTTTCTCCCATGGAACAGCTGGTAGTTTCGAACTGCTGACCATGAGATTAGCAGCCTGATTCATAACCACTACACTACCAGAGCTCCTTGGTACTGCTGTTAGCCCCGAATTAAAGATAACATTGGAGCCAGAGAGTGTGTTGCTTATCTCATATCTGAGAATACATTTTGGAGTTGACGTATCAGCCTGGCATATCTGATTTTGCTGTCTACACTCTTAATGAGTGTCATCTTTTGGCTTAGATGATAACAGTTATGGTGACATCCCAGGAAGTCAGCAAGGAAGCCTTCAGAAGAGAGATTGGATAAGATCACTTGAAGTTTTCAAGTCGCTTTATGTATTAACCTTTTCTTGTCTTATCTCAGTGTTAGGAGAGTTCATGCATCCCTGTGAAGATGACATCATTTGTAAATGTGTCACAGATGAAAACAAGGTGCCTTACTTCAATGCTCCTGTGTATTTAGAAAACAAAGAACAAATTGGAAAAGTGGATGAAATATTTGGACAACTTAGAGATTTTGTATCCTTTTCAGTTGGAAGATCTAGTGATCTCATTCAGGAGTAACTATTTACTTTTTCTGAAGCTGTTTAGTATTATGTTCAGTAAACTTGCTGTCCCATACTGGGCAGAGTAACTACTGCTACAGATTGGACCATGTAGAGAATATCGAGGGAGAACGCGTACATCAATATATGTTGAAATAATGCGCCTTCAAGGTGACTGGGAGTAGAAAGCTGTAGCACCTTTAGGTAAAAGTGCTACAAGATTGTGGTTTGCTTTGAGCTAATTGGAAGTTCTTCTTTCCATTGTCATTTGGAGCTATATTATATTTCTTACCCTTCCTGTATATTATAAGGCTTGATTTTAAAATTGCACATGAAGTTAGAATGATTGATACTTTCTTTGATTTTATTTGCTTATTTGCTCCTTAATGAAATTAATAGTATTTTTCAGTTAAATTGTCAGAAAACATGAAGGCTTCTTCCTTTAAAAAACTGCAGAAGGTGAGTCAAGTATATGATATAGGTTTGTTGTTAAATGCTGTTGGACCGCTTCCCACTCACAGTGACCCTTTATAGGGTTTTTGAGGAGCCGCTGATGGGTTTGAACCACCAACCTTGAGGTTAGCAGTCCAGTGTTTATCCTACAGCACCACAACAGGACTCCATGATACAAGTTTGTTGTTTTTAAGTGTAATCGAATCGGTCCCAAGTCATACCACCCTGTATAGGGCTCCCAAGGAGCAACTGGTGGGTTTGAACCACCAGCCTGTGGTTAGCAGTCCAGTGCTTATCCTACAGTGCCACACCAGGACTCCTGTGGCTAATAAGGTGTGGTATTTGACAGTATAAATACAAACAGTATATTTGAGAGGAATGACTGTGAAGGGAATAAAATTGATAATGTAGAGAGGGGTTGTAGTTAAATGCCTTCGAGTCAGTTCTTAACTCATAGTAACCCAGTATAGGGTTTCTGAGGAGTAGCTGATGGGTTTGAGGCACTGATTTTGCAGTTAGCAGCCCAGTGCTTATCCTACAATACCACACCAAGACACGCACATCTATTTTAAATACCTGTATTATAGTTTAGGGATCCCTGAGGGTACGGTGGTTTAGTACCTAGCTGCTAACCTAAAGGCTGGTGGTTTGAACCCACTAGTCACTCCACTGGAGGAAGATGTGATAGTCTACTTCTTTAAAGTTTGTTCCGACTCATAGCGACCTTGTATTGGGGTTTCTGAGGAGCGGCTAGTGGGTTAGAACGGCCAATTTTGCAGTTCAAGCCGACCTTGTGGTCTAGTGCATTATCCTATAGCGCCACACAAGACAACCTTGGAAACACTGTGGAGTAGTTCTCCTCTGTCCCATATAGTTGCTATAAGTTGGAGTCGATTTAATAGCAACTTTATATATACAGTTTTGAAGTTCTCTATAACTGTTCTGTGTAGAAAGATACAATCGATCTCTACATTTCATTGTAAAAATTGCCCTGTAACTCCATATTCTTTTTCATGTTGTATGTTTAGTCTTTTATTAATTTGTCCTTTTTAAAGATTTATGGCCTCAGAAACCCTATACAGAGTCACTGTGAATCAGAGCCGCCACCTACCACCACCACCACAAACTCTTGGAAAAGCTAGTATGTCAGTGTTTTATTTTGCATGTTACATTTTTAGTATTTTGTATTACACTTGGCATTTTTGTTGAAGGAAAATATAGTTAAATTGTGATTTGATTTCTAAAGAGAAAAACAGATTGAATTGGTCCTGACTTTCGTATATAAGCATATAATTTTATTGTGTGCCAGAATTTGTGTTTTTTATACTTTAGTACTCTTGATTCTCATTATAATGTTGTGAGGTAGGTACTTTATTATCTTTATTTCACAGATGAGAAAATAAAGGCACAGAGTAATTCAGTCCTTGCCTAGGTTTACAGAATAATAAGTGGTGGGATTGGGATTTGAATCCAGGTGGTTTTACATCTAGGTTCTTAGTGACTTCGCTGTGCTGTCCCCTGAGTGATCATGCTGATTCTTCTATTATGCTTCCAGTTTTATATAGACCCATATAAGCTGCTTCCACTGCAGAGGTTTTTACCTCGACCTCCAGGTGAGAAAGGACCTCCAAGAGGTGGTGGCAGGGGAGGTCGAGGAGGAGGAGGAGGAAGAGGAGGTGGAAGAGGAGGAGGTGGCAGAGGTGGAGGTAGAGGTGGTAAGTTACTTGTTCAAAAAATTTTTAATAAGATTTCAAAGTCACAGCTAATTCAATTTCTTTTACATTTTTACATTAGGAAAACTATGCAGTATAATTGTATGTAGATGACACATACATTATTTTCTTTTTGGTAAACCTGCTCTCATACCTTGGCATATGGCTTATAGTGTTAATGTTAAGTTTCAACCACAGATTTAAAAAGAAAAATATATAGTTATATTTTTCAGGTGTTTATCTCTTATAGTATTCATGTAATGTTTTGTATTTTAGTAAAGTATAAGATTATCGAGTTTCTTTGTTAATGAGTATCGCTTAAATGCTGAGATCGATCATATATGTTTTTAGTATTCATCTTTTAATACTCAGCAAAACCTGTGAGTTACCCTTATTTTATATAAGGAAGCAGAGGCTTTTAGAAGTTAATTTTCCTTACTCTGCTAATTGGCAGACCCACACTTGAAATTCATGTCTTCTGATGTCACGTCAAAGAATGTTACCAAACTTTTTTTTGCTATGATTTCAGAATGTTATTAGATATATTTCTAGAGCTAACATGGCAAGAGGACTTGAAACTTGGGCTTGGACAACTCCTGCTATTTGATCAGCATAAAAGAGGAAACCTTGTTTTTATCTTTGATTTTATTTAATCGTCATTTCACTCTATAAATGTAGTTATTTTGATATAGAGGGGAAGTTAATTAAAATATTTGAACTCATTCCTTTTATAAGTATTTTTGGTGGTGTGTGGGTATGTGCCATCAAGTTGATTTCAACTCATAGTGATCCACACTGACAGAGTAGAGTTGCCCCATAGAGTTTCCTATATTGTGTCCACGCACTGTAGGATAAGCACTGGACCGGTAAACACAGCTTAGTGGTTCCAACCCACCAGCTGTTCCTTGGAAACCCTGTATAGGCTTACTATGTGTTGGAACTCATTTGACAACACATAACAACAACAATCTTTCTGGGAGCTGATCACCAGGTCTTTTCACCCACTGAACTGCTTACGGGATCGAACCAAGGATCTTTTGATTAGCAACCTAGTGCATATCCATTGCATCACCACGATTCCTTTTTGGAGAGGTACTTTTTGTTGTTTAGTGTTTTTGAGTCGGTTCCAACTTAAAGTGCCAGTAAAGAGTTTCTGAGGCTGTATGTTTTTGCAGTGAGCATTTGATGAATTGAGATCCTCTCATTCCCATTCTATATTCAGTCTCATATTTAACATTTTTTCCTAAACAATATCCACAATTCTGTCCTTAAAATTTTACCTTATATTTTTGTGCTAGCATTTTACAAGTATATGCTTACTTTCTTTCCCATTTTATAATTTCGACTTTTTAAAATATATATAATTAGTCTCTCAAATAGGTTACTATGGAGACTGAAAAATAGGAAGCCAAAGGTGTTGGGTCCTAGAAAATTGCTTAAGAAATTTTAAGATTTCTTGGATCATCAATATGTGAGCCTCTGAGATACGGTCCATATGTAGCTCAATTCATCTTAAACACGTCTATTATAGTATTTCCAGAGCAAAAGCCACCCATATCTGCCACTCAGTCAGAAGTTACCATAAGCAAAAGCTAAAGTAGGCATACAACTTACCAATAGGACTGAACTAAATTTTAACACAATGAGTTTTTCCGAGTTCATTAAGGCAGAATATTTGTTTAATTCTGGGCAACTACTACTATGAATGTCAGAAGAGACCCTGAAACTTGCTCTCCAGCATAGAGATGCTAAAGCAAATGGAAGAAATAAGGAAGTACAAGAACTGAACAGAAAATTTCAAAGATCAGCTCGAGAAGATAAAGCCAAATATTATAATAAAAGGTGCAAAGATCTGGAATCAGAAAACCAAAACAGAAGAACACGCTCAGCATTTCTCAAGCTGGGGGAACTGAAGAAAAAATTCAAGCCTGGACTTTCGTTATTGAACGATTCTCTGGACAAATTATTGAATGATGCAGAAAGCATCAAGAGAATATGGAAGGAATACTCAGAGTCACTGTACCAAAAGGAAATGATTAACGTTCAACTGTTTCAAGAGGTAGCATATGATCAAGAGCCAGTGAAACTGAAGGAAAAAGTCCAAGGTGCATTGAAGGAATTGGCAAAGAACAAGGTACCAGGAATTGATGTAATAAAAATTGAAATCTTTCAAGAAAGTGAGGCGGCACAGGAGGCACTCATTCATCTCTGCCAAGAAATTTGGAAGACAACTGTCTGGCCGACTAATTGGAAGAGATTGATATTTGTGCCCATTCCAAAGAGCGGTGACCCAATGAAATGTGGAAATCATCGGATAATCTCTTTGATATCCCATGCAAGTAAAGTTTTATTCAAGGTAATACAGAAACAGCTACAACCATATATTGACAGAGAACTTCCAGAGGTTCAAGCCAGATTCAGAGGACGTCGTGGAATGAGGGATACCATTGCTGATGTCCGATGGATCATGGCTGAAAGCGGAGAATATCAGAAAGATGTTTACCTGTGCTTTATTGACTACACAAAGGCTTTCAATTGTGTGGATCATGACAAGCTATGGACAACATTGCGAAGTATGAGTATTCCAGAACACTTAATTGTGCTCATGAGGAACCTGTACATGGACCAAGAAGCAATTGTTCAAACAGAACATGGGAACACTGAATGGTTTCAAATTAAGAAAGGTGTGCAACAAGGTTGTATTCTTTCACTATACTTATTCAATCTGTATGCTGAACAAATAATACGAGAAGCTGGGTTCTATGAAGAAAAACGTGGCATCAGGATTGGAGGAAGACTCATTAACAACCTGCGATATTCAGATGATACAACCTTGCTTGCTGAAAGTGAAGAGGACTTAAAACATTTACTGTGAAGATCAAAGAGCAAAGCCTTCGTTATGGATTACATCTCAATGTCAAGAAAACAAAAATCCTAACCACTGGACCAGTAAACATTCTTATCAATGGAGAAAAGATTGAAGTTGTTAAGGACTTCCTTCTTCTTGGATCAACTTCTTGGATCAAAACTCACAGAAGCAGCAGTCAAGAAATCAACGTATTGCATTAGGCAAATCTGCTGCACAAGACCTTTTTAAAGTGTTGAAGAGCAAAGATGTTAGCTTGAGGTCTAAGGTGCGCCTGACCCAAGCCATGGTATTTTCAATAACCTCATATGCATGCGAAAGCTGGAGAGTGAATAAGGAAGATCATAGAAGAATTGATGCTTTTGAGTTAATGGTGTTGGAGGAGAATATTGAAAGTGCCAAAAGACCCAATAGATCCGTTTTGGAAGAAGTGCAGCCAGAGTGCTCCTTAGAGGCCAAGATGGCCACACTTCGTCTCTTGTACTTCAGGCTTATTGTCAGGAGGGACCAGTCACTGGAGAAGGATTTCATGTTTGATAGGGTGGAGGGTCAGAGAAAAAGAGGAAGACCCCCAAGTTGATGGATTGGCCATGTAGCAGCATCGATGGACCTCAAGCGTGGCAACAGTAGTGAAGTTGGCCCTGGATCGGCCATCAAAATCCAGTGTTTCGTTCTGCTGTTCATAGGCCACTATGGGTTGGTACCAAGTTGATGGCACCTAACAACAACTACTACTACTATAATTTCTCCTTTAAAAATTCTGTAGGGTAAAATATGTTAATCAATATTTCTTAATCTTTATATAACTTGAGTTGATCTTTGTAGACTTACCAGAATGATACACTACAATTTAATGCATACTTCCTGTTTTTAGGTGGATTTAGAGGTGGAAGAGGAGGAGGTGGAGGCTTCCGAGGAGGAAGAGGGGGTGGTGGTTTTAGAGGTGAGTGGAAACGAAAAATCCTTACATGACTGAATTGTATAATTGATATTGTCTATCATTTTTTCTTATTACATGTGCTATTTATTTCTTCGGCCCATAGAGTGTAGAACAGTGTGTCCCATGCTCTAGCTTAATTTATGACTTCATTATATGTCACTCTTTTTTTGTTTTCCCTTTTTATGTTATTTTTTTTTCACCTACTTCTAATTTCGGCTGTTAGGGATTTAGAGATAGCAGGTAATCTTATTACTGTGTTTGCTGTGTTTTTTGATTATTTTCAAGTCACCTTAGCCCTTAAAAGCTGAACTATTACATCTTTCCAAAAAATTGATATGTTTGCAAACCCAACTCCTTTCTTACTTGTTTAATTATACTATCTTTTATATACCAATTGATTATTTCAGAAATGATCATTTGAGTCATATGAAACATTGTAGTAAAAACTAATTTAAAAAATTAAAAAGATAACATGAGTATTAGTTAAACTTGGCATAAGATTTGCTTAAGATGACAGACAACTAGTACTGATTTTAAAGTTGAGACTAGGGTAATCGTGCCTTAATACTTCATTTTTTATTTATTCTTAAAACTACTTTTCTCTTAAACAGGGAGAGGACATTAAGTTTGACAGTGGACAGACAGACCTCACCATTTGACTGCATTAGGCTGCATGATCTACTTCTACTTGTTTATTAAGCAAGTCCTGAAGAACTGGTCGTTTTCTGACAGTGGAGTTACTCTGTCACCATCATGCAAAAATGAGTGCAATAGAGAATGGTCAATCTTGCTCTAAAAGAGCATGAACTAAATCTATGTTTTGTATGAGTTGGGCACTCTGTGGGTGCTTAGTAAATGGACAAGAGTTTTCTTTTGATGTCTATTTGAATTTTTAAAATAAAGCTTTTTATTCCTTTACAGCTGTGTTTATTAAACCTAGCCTATAAGCTGAAAGGAACCAATAAAGCTTATTTGATTGAAGATAGAAAAAATAATTTGTTTGCATCTGTTTCTGATAGACTACTGCAGTAATACTTCACACTATTTATATGAGGGTGTGAATTAATGCTCTCTTTTGTATATGAGAAAACTTGGTGGTCTTTATTATATTTGCCTTTTGTAGTTTAGGGCGTAAGGAGCTCTGGTAGTGTAGTGGTTACGAATCGGGCTGCGAGCCGCAAGGTCAGCAGTTCGAAACTACCAGCTGTTCTGCTGGAGAAAGATGAGGCTTTCTGCTCCCGTAAAGATTTCCAGCCTCGGAAACCCTGTACAGGGTCGCTATGAGTCGGAACCGACTCCACGGCACGTAACAACAACAACAACAGTTTAGGGCGTAATGTATGCTACATAATACATGAGCCCAAAAAGCAGTTTATTTAAGTGTAGTTAGTAATTGATCAGAAAATGGTAGTAATATGAATCTATTAAAGTAAATTTCTTCATTCGTTGTAGATGGAATACAGGTATACATTCCCTTGTTTCCACAAATCTGACATTCACAGCAGAATCATGGCATCCTATCAGTTTTTTCTCCCACCTTCTCTCACCCAGACCCCACAGGGTAGAACATGGTTTGGTTGGTAGTTACAGACTGTGGCTAAAAGAGACATTAGATAATTCACTATAACACAGGCAGTTACTTTTGAGTCAAGTTTCTATTTTAAGTGACATTGCATTAATGAATTTGCGGTAAATACTGAGTTCCATTGTAAAGATGGCTTTGATGGCTTTTCACATTTTATATCTTTTGAGTTGGCAAATACTCTTGATTCCTTGCTTCCTGTCCAAAAGCACTTGTTGCCATAGCAATGAATAGTTTAATGGAATAAAAACATTACTGTTTTCTGGTATTACTGAAAATTTAGAAATAATACGCACGGAGGATTGACTTAGGCCAATTGAGGAGGAATGTGAAATTAAAGGATTGTGGGCCTATAAACATTAAAATAAGGAGATCTGGTAGTGTAGTGGTTATGAGTCAGGCTGCTAATCTCATGGTCAGCAGTTCGAAACTGCCATTGGTTCTCATGAGAAAGATGAGGCTTTCTGCAATCAAAAGTGTACGGCCTCTGAAACCCTATACAGGGTTAATATGAGTTGGAACCAACTCCATGCCACACCACCACTACCACCACAAATACTAAAATGGAGTCCTGGTGTGGCATTGTGGGTTAATGCGCTGGACTACAAAGTCAGTTTGAATCGCAAGATCAGCAGTTCAAGTTCACCAGCCAGTCCTTGGAAACCCTATACAGGGTTGCTATGAGTAGGAACTGATTATTAAAATATGCCAATATTTCTCAATATTTTTACTCATCTGTAAAACCTCCCATCTACAGCACAAAACTAACCCATCTTTGGAATTACAGTGGACCCTTGAACAACGACAGGGTCTGAGGTGCCAACTTCCTGCACAATTGAACATCCACATGAATTAATTTACAGTTGTCCCTTGAACAGCATGAGCTTGAACTGTGCAGGGACCCACTTATAGATATATCACTTTAAATCTTCCAAGAGCTAAAAGGAGAGAAAGGCAAGCAGAGAGGATCCTGGGTATCACCAAGAGAGAAGTGCCAGGAGCAGAAGCATTCTTTGGACCTGGGGTCCCCATGATAACTTTCTAGACCCAAGGAAAGATTGATATCAAGATAACGTGCTCTCCATGGAATACCACCAGATCCACAGATGTTGAAAGTAAACAAAGACCTGCAGAAACCACAGAGAAAGCCTTCCCCTGAGCTGGGGCTGGTGCCCTGAATTTGAACTTCTAGCCTACTAAAGTGTGGGAGGATAAATTTGTTAAAACAATCCATTTGTGGTATTTCTATTATAGCAGCACTATATGAACCCTAAGGAGCTCTGGTAGCATAGTGGTTATGAGTCGGGCTGCTAACCTCAAGGTCAGCAGTTCAAAACTGCCCAGCTGTTCCACGGGACAAAGATGAGGCTTTCTGCTCCTGTAAAGATTTGCAGCCTCAGAATCCCTGTACAGTTTGGCTATGAGTCGGAACCCCCATCACCAGATGAGCGCTGGTGTAGTGTTGTGGGATAAGCACTGGACTGGTAACTGTAAGATTGGCAGTTCAAACCCACCAGCGGCTCTTGGAAACCCTATACAGGGTTGGTATTATTTGGAACTGACTCAATAATACACAGCAACAGATAAGTAAGACAGGTCTCTTTCTGCTCTGACATTTTAATATGAAATTAGGAAAGCAGGTAAATATAGCCTTCTAGTGGTTCTGTTGGAGTCCTGGTGTGGTGCTACAGGATAATGCACTGCTCCACAAGGCCAGTTTGAACTACAAGGTCAGCAGTTCAAACTCAACCGCTGCTCCTTGGAAACCCTATACAGGTTTGCTATGAGTTGGAACCAACTCAACTGCACTTAACACCAACAACAGTAGTGGTGGTTATATGCTTACACAGTGTCTACTTTGGTGCATCTAACACTTCAAATTTTTTCTGATTTTAAGAAATTCACTATTGAGAAGAATCAGATTTTCATATAGTCCTGGTATGGCCTTGTGTGTTAAGGCGCTGGACTGCAAAGTCCATTTGAACTGCAAGGTCGGCAGTTCAAGCTCACCAGCTGCTCCTCGGAAATCCTATACAGGGTTGTTATGGGTCTGCACTGACTCGAAGGCACTTCACAACAACAACAACAACAACAACCTGACATAAAAAAAAAACATATCCTCCACCTAGGTCTATATGCTTCTAAGGCAGTGTTTCCCTTTCTCTAACTGTTCCCTGAAGAATCTGTGTTCTTTAATTTATACCATGTCAAAAAGGCTGTTTTGGCATCCTTAAGGGACTCAAATCATGTTCCTTTGAAATGTACTTAGAGTTTGGGGTAATAAAAAGGAATCTGAAGGGACATATTCTGGGTTGTAGAGTGAATGGAGTATGGTTTCCTGATGAAATTCTCATAGGATAGCCCTCACTACCCTCCAAAAATGAACAGGTGCATTGTCATGATGGAAAAAATTTCCTCGGTGCAACTTTCCTGGCCTTTTTCTCACCAATGTAGTTTTAAGTTTTCTCAAAACTTCTATAAAGCTCTTGTGATCACCTTGTGTCCTTTGTGGAAATCTACTGAAATTACCTCTTTAGAATCTCAAATAACAGTCCCCATAACCTTCTGAGCTGACCTCCCTGCCTTGAATTTAACTGACCTAGAAGATCCCCTCAGAAGCCACTGTTTCAATTGAATTTTGCATTCTTGATTTTATTGGTAAATCTAAGACGTCCCCAATTATGAGTAATTCCATAAAATCATCTTCATTAGCTTCAATCTTGCTTTAAAGACTGATAAAAAGAAAGATCAGCTCTTCGAGTTAGCTGATCTTCTCACAACAATTTTGACACCCTTTGATCCAAATGAAGATGCTGCATCATGTGAGATCTCAGTTAAGAGTCTATGGTAATTCTATGGTCTTTTCTCAACAGTTTCTGTACTTCAGTTGGTTTCTTTATTTATTGAGGTTGGCAGTCTCACCTCTGTTGGCTCATCTTTCAGTTCTTCCTTAAAACTCAGATCCATCATGTTTTTACCCATAGTACAAAAACAAAAGTGTATTTTTATTATTTTTTTTTATTTTGAGACTAAGACAAGTATATTAATGAGAAAACTTGTTTGTAGCCATTCCCTGACCACCGAGACATGTTGAAACACATTTTGTTTGAAATAAGCCTGTGCATGTACAGAGTGAAACCCTACTAACAATATTTTTTGATGCCCTTATATGTTTGTATAAGCAAAGGATATCATCAGAAAAGATACTACCAACAATGTTGATGAATTTAGGTGTGTGAAGATTGGAAGGATGTGAGGAAGATTACGTCTTTATTTACTTGTAATTATTTAATTGCTAAGGAAAAAAGGGGGAAATGGCAAAGAAAAAATTTGAAGGTATCAGCAGATATGGGGATCTCAATCTGAGGAGTTTCAGAAACCAATTGGCTCTTAGTTTCAGAACTGGTTTCCAGGAGAGATTAGTCGGGTCAAGTAAGCAATTGCACTGTTTTTCTGAGTTTGCTTATTGCTTGAATGGGGTCTTTATGCTTGCTAACCTCCTTAGATATAATTTATGCTCAATAAAGTGGAACTGGTTTGCTCTTTGTATTTTGCTAATGAGCTTTTCCCTGGTTCTGGGAATTCAAATGCTTTCCCTTTTAGCCTAATTAACTCTATTAAAGAAAGGCCTCTATGTGAAAGCCCCTCTTTGAGGTGTTTTAGTGGAATTGATTGGTACTGAAAATTATTTCCTCACTGGTTGTTAATATTTCCTCACTGGTTGTTATTGGAGGTGTGTTATGAAGGCTGTCTCAACATCATCCCTCCAAAATGCGGAGGAATGATTTGGGCAACAGTTCTGACTCTACAAATGAAGGTAACTCCGTTTTTTCACAGACCGAACACAAGATTGTTGCAACTTACTTGATTATGGCAGGTATGGTTGTTTAATTACTCCATTAACAGTTCATCTTGTTTTAGAATAGGAGAAGAAAAGTTTTTCAGCATAAGGAAACTAGAAAGGATGGATTTCAGAATTTGGGTTAAAAGAATGTTTCAAGCTATGCATTGCTGGTCAACTTCCACAGGTCACTTACTTTTTCTAAGTTAGTTTGCTCATCTCCTATGTGACAATGTTACTGCTTGCTATATCTACTTGCAGGCTGTAGAGATCAAATAAGATATTATAAGTGTTAACGGGGGTCACTGTCACAAATTATTTTGAATCGTGATTAAACATCATGACAGCAGTGAAATGGGACAGATGAGTTTTATACAAAATGAATAATTCTTTTGCTTTATTCATCCATATATTTGGTTATTTTATTGTCAAATTAAGTTTTTGCTGGGAAAGAGTATGTTTGTATCATGATAAAATGTATTTTTTATAGCATTTACTATTATTGTATACTTTTTTATAGATATAGTTTGTCTTTGATAGCAGAATCTAGCCAAGATTAAAAGTTTTGGAAAGAAAATTCAAGTTCTATATATATATATAGAAGACTATATTGGCAATGAGAGCAGAGTTTGATCATTTATTTTACTTGTGAATGTTAAAATGTAATGGAACTCTTGAACTTGGATCTCATCTTTTGTGTCTTTGCAACTGTGGACAAATCCCTTCCCTTTTAGTTCTTCCAGTTTCCTACCTGTTAAATGAGGATCAGATTGTTTTGAGGGGTAAGGGAAATGACACATAAAGCACCTTGGGAATAGTAGATGAATACTTGTTTCTTTCTCACCCACATATACATGCTCATTGATTAAATACTGGATTAATCACTTAGAGAAAGGCTTCTTTGCAGAAGAAAAGGGTGTGAGAAATTATAAAAAATTTTTTGAATCCTTTTTGTGCATCTAAGTAAAAGTGTGATGTAACCTTTATACTGAACAAACTCTCCATTTCCAACTTTATGTTCCTGCAATTAATTTTTTTGTTGTTAAATGTTGTCAAGTTGGTTCTGACTCATAGCTACCCTGTGTAGGGTTTCCAAGGAATAGCTGGTGGGTTTGAATCACTGACATTGTGGTTATAGCAGTCTAGTGCTTATCCTGTAGTGCCACACCAGGGCACTATAATAATGAACTTTAGAAGGAACAATTTTTATTATATTGGTGTTTTTTTTAAATTAAATTTTATGAAAAATTTCAAGCATATCCAAAAATATAGGGAACGGTATGACAAATCTTCATTATTATTATTACTTCATAATTGCTTAGTTTTCTCCTATAATTAATAATTATAATATTGTTTCTTATGTTAGAAATTGTGTCTAAGAATATTAAAGGGGATCACAGTGACTACATACAATAAGCACTGGACTGAGAGACATAGGTCTAATGTTTGAGCCTGCGAGCCACTCCATAGGAGAAAGATGAGGCTTTCTGCTCCCACAAATACTTAAAAGCATCGGAAACCCTATGCAGGGTCATTATGAGTCAGAACCAACTCTAAGGCACTTAACGACAACAAAGATATTAAAAGTATGATGGACTGCCAAAAGACCAAGGAAGTCTGTGTTAGAAGAAGGATAGCCAGAATACTTCTTAGAAGTCATTATGGCCAGACTTCATCTCTCATATTTCAGACATCCAGGAGGGACCAGTCCCTGGAGAAGGACTTCATGCTTGGTAAAGTGGAGGGTTAGCGAAAAATAGGAAGGCCCCCAACAAGATGGATTGGAACAGTGGCAGCAGCAGTAGGCTCAAGCATAGCAATGTTTGTGAGGTTGGTGCAGGACCAGGCAGTGTTTCGTTCTGTTGTGCATAAGGTCACTATGAGTTGATATCAACTTAACATCACCTAACAAAGACAATAACAAGAAGAAGTTAATTTTTATAAATATTAGTGATGTGTTCATTCAAAAAACATTTGAATCTTGGAAACCCTATTCAGGGTTGCTATGAGTCAGAACTAACTTGATGGCACAAGTTCTATTTTCTTTTAGAGATTTTTTGTTGTTGCTAATGTATGAGAGAACAAATGTACTATTTAAAGAAAACAATCTCATCACAGTCCTATTGGAAATACTTTGTATTCAAGCTTTTGATTTATTTAGTTTTGGTTCATTCATTAAACAAATCTGTTTATGTTTCATGCTGAAAGAACATAGAAAGCCTTAGGACCCTGAAATCTATATGGGAAAACTAGGAAGATATGCGAGTTAAATAATATAGCATTACAATATAGGCAAGTACTTTGGGAAATTTTAGAAAAGAGAATGTACTGTAGGTAGAAGAAGGTTTGGGAGTAGAATTGATCTTGAAATGGATATTGAAGGATGGATAGCATTTGGATAGGTAGAAATAAATAGTGAGAGGAAGGAGTCAAGATTTACAATATATGTGTCATATTTGATAAATGGAAGGCTTGTTTGGACTTGTTTGTTTGTTGAAATTTGCTTTGTTGTTGTTAAGTGTTATTGAGTTAGTTCCGACTCATAATGACCCCTGTATAGGGTTTCCAAGGAGTGGCTGTGGATTTGATCCACCGATCTCGTGGTTAGCAGTCCAGTGCTTATCCTATAGTATCACACCAGGGAGTGAAAACAGATTAAGGCTAAAAACCTGGGATGTAAGGTTGGGATATTTGGATTTTTATCCCTCAGGCAGAGGGAATATTGTAAGATTTGAGAAGAGCCTTGACAAATTCTATGTTGTAGCAAGTGAATTCTGCCAGCAAAATGTTAAAAGAAGTTTTGAATGAAGTACCAAGATATAGTAGAAGTTCTTAACGGACACTTTTATGTATTGGAACTTAGAAACCTTTCCTTTGTCTCCAATAAAGAGGGGACTGCTTACCGGTAATTCTATTGATGATGATGAACAATCTCTATTGCTTGTTGTTTAGCCCTCCTTTTGTTATTATTGTTGTTGTTGTTGTTGTTGT